CTCCTTGGTGATGCAAGACTGGAAGTCTCTATGGAAGTAAGGAAGCTGTTTTTTTTTGTGAAGACTTTGCTCCTGGCTCGGACAGAGGTTGATAACACAGCTGGTTTAGCAGCTGATTTCGTGTTCAGAATATTGTTTGACAAAAGAATTGTTGTCAATGAAGAAAATGGTTGGTTATGTCAGAAAGGAAGAGATCCTGGTTGATTATGGTGGTACTGTTGGAAGTTTTAACCAGTTAATGGGACTTTGAGCATGGGAGCTCAGTTGTGCCTGAAGTTCTTTTGCTGACACATTATAATGGTAAATGTTTGGAATAAATGATGTTAGTATATGCTTGCTTTGGTTGGTATGAGAAGGAAAAGGCTTCATCTCAGCAAATGATCTTTTGAATATACAGCCATTCGGCTGGAAAATGGCAACCCTTTATGATTGCTTCTATGTTGATGATATATACCACCAAGACTTGACCCTTGAGACTTTGCAGCATGGCGTAAGTAGTAAGTCTGGCCTTGACAAGACAACTAGTCCATGAAAGAAACCCAGGACAGAGAGAGAACTGAACTTGGCCATGTGGGGAAATTGTTTTGAGAAAGTTACCGAACTCATTGTAGGCTCTGAAGATGGAACTCTTGTCAGATGGCAAGTCTGTGATTTGCAGAACCATTACGAGCTGCTGATGAACAAGTCACAGGAACACATATAGACTGACTCAGTAGAGTCCCAAGTGTTGATATGGAGGGACATGGAAGATAGCAACTAGTTCTGTACATATTCATGTGGAGAAAATAATTCTTTTCATTAGGTGGGGTAGTCTCATACATAGGAATATTGCAGTACTTTTTGTTATCCTTCTAAAATGAAATCTTGTTCTTCAGATCTTGTCTTCTGTTAAGTGTGTCCCTTTTCCATGTTCAATTCATTTATTGTATGTTCGATCACATTCATCAATGAAAAATGAAAGAAAGATGGTGCGTTTTTAGTTCAATCCTCTGAACTATATAGTTCACTTGTGCAACACTAAATGCACTTGTATCTATTTCTGCTCTAGTTCCTTTATCAATATAACTAACCTTTGAGAACTGAACTTGTTAACATTAAACATGATGTGGTAAAACTGGATATAAGACATAAAAAATGAAATTTTCAATAACCCAAGTATTTGTACTAAAACCAATATCCAATCTAAAATTCATAAATTTTAAAAATAAGATTAAGAATCCAGTATCCATAATCCAAAAATTCATATGAAATATCTAAAAATATTCGATTTTAATTGGATTTGCCAAGCCCACCGCCCCACCACACCCCTAGTCTTAACATTTAAGACACACTTAATACGCTAAAACTTTAGGGGTCTGTGCCTAGTGGTAGCTTTGAATAATTAACGCTCTATATTTAGCTGCCGATTAATCTACGACACACATTAAGTCGATCAACTAAAATAATTGTATTTAATATTAAATATAAAAATATTATATGCATATTATATATATATATATATTCGAACTATTATTCTACTGAATGATTACTCATGCCATTTTTTTAAAAATAAAATACAAGTATCTTAGGTCCCATTTGGATTTGACTTAAAAAAAACGTTTTCTTTTAAATGTAATTTATTTTACGTTTGCAGAAGATTGTGTATGTTTGAAATTGAACAAATTAGTTGACAAATCATTATGCTATTAGCTGTCTTGTGTCTTATTTTCAAACCATAATAAAGAGTTTCTATAATATGTAGGAATATTCTAGAACAATGTGCTAATCAAACAATTCATATTCACTTCTGTATTTTATTAAACTTAAGCTTGATTGATAAATATTGTATTTTAAAAAAAATAGTTTTGTGATAGTGTGTTATATTTTTATTATGAACTTTTGCTTATTTTGTAAGATTGTATAAGAAAATTGGAACAATTTTAGTAGTTTCCACAACTTATGAGTTTTTTTTTTTTTTTTATATCTGAGCAAATAACACAACTTAATAATTCATTATACATCCCAACAAAACTTCAACTTTATCTCATATGATTTTATATCATGATTTCAAATTACGATTTCGTTCTGCATAATCAAACAACCCTTAAATAAAAAATAAGATAATACATATATGGCAGAGTAATTAAATGTTAATCTCTTAGTAATTACTTCAAAAGCGTTTTTAGGTTATGGTAGTGCCATACTTTGTATTTATATAGTATCATATTTCATTCAAATAAATATCGAGTAATTCTGTTATTTTTAAAAACGAAATATACCTAACTTTAGTTTACATGGTCCATTTCAATTGCATTCACCTATATATAAATTATAAGCCACAATTACGCTGACCTCATTTTTGTAACTAGTTATTTAAATTCAAGCTTAGTTTTTCAAAAGTGGATCAGGTTAGCTAATTGAATAAGTGTGTAAATCAAGCATATGTATTATGTCACAATTATTTTTACTTCATAAATATGGTCCTTGATGTATATAAAAAGATTATCTTTTTAGTCCTTACAATAATTTTGTTTGTCCTTGTGCTTTTAGGACCTAATAGGCTTCATTGCATAATTATTTTAGTAACATTTATAAGGAGAGACCTTATATTCTTATATACGATTTCAAATTTGGAAATAGGAATTAAAAAAATCTTGGTACATTATATTTCTCCCTTTAATAAGCCTTATATTGTTGCATGGATTCAAGTTGGTGGAGGAAATAAAATGCAATCGAGTAAAGTATGACTTGGTGATCAGACAATATATGAATAAAACTTATAACGGGATTTTGAAAAATAAATAATTTCTGTTGAGCCTTGATTTTTTTTTTTTAGGTTCATTAGGCTTCTTATTAGTTGAAATTTCTCGTTATCTTGATAGAAATTTGTTATCTTTTTTTCTACCGCAACATAAAGTCCACCAAAGAGGAAATGTTCCCTTCTAGAGATTTTTAATTGGAACTTAAGATCTCTTATTATTCATTCTTAAATAATTCTTTTATCGATTGGTAATCTAGTCAATTCAATTAGTCTATTTAAAGACATAGTACTATAGATATATCAAATTCCTAATAGTCTCTTTTATATATGAAAATTTTATTTTTTGGAAAAAAGATGTGAAATATATTTTAAATTTGACCGAAATTATTGTAACTATCCCAAACTTTGGGTAAGACCTTTTACCATTATACACAATTTAATACTATATTTTAAAGGTATATATATGCAATATGTATATTATAAATATTGTATCATTATAAATAGTAGTAACTATTTTAGATAAGCACATATGTACCTTTAAAATACGTAATAATATAGTGCTGGAGGTAATAGGTCTTGCTAAAAATTTAGAATTGTTACAGCTATTTCATCAAAGTTCAAATATATTTAGAATTTTTTCCCCTTATTTTACTTTTTCTACAAGTAGTACTCAATAAATAAATAAAAAATCCTCATTTTTTTCAAAAAGAAAAAACCTATTATTACTATGTTAAAAAAAATAGGGTTCCTAGAAGTCGGAAGCTTAAGGTGAATGTTTGTTTTAAAACTCTTTAGGACCGTTCCTTAGTTAGGTGTGAACAAACTCCTATATTAGTATTGGGTACTCTTAATTAATTAATGATGTGAGGTTTTGTAGAAACAAATATGGAAAAATGATAGGAATTCGATCTTCTTTTATTACGATTATTTCTTATTAGTTTTATAAATTTTTAAATTTTTTCAGCACATTAAATTAATGTATATCGCATATTAAATTAGTGTATCTCGCGGATCAAATTAGTATATCATGTATAAAATATAATATATCTTACTTAACGATTAATATATCTCGCATATAGATTAATATATCAATGTTTATATTATTGTATCGTTGGAGGGATTTTCTGTAATTATAAACTTTTATAAGGGACAAATAATAATTTTATTTTAAAAATATGTACTTTCTATCATTTGCCAAAAAAGAATTGTGCAATAATATACACTATATTAAGAATATTTTAAATTATTTTAATTTAACAATTAAAATCGAAGTTACGATTTAACGAGATAAATACGAAGATAGAAAACGTAATCACGTACGGTCAACGTAGTGATTTTGCTTGTCTACTTGTCGCTTTGCTACCTTATCCACAGTTTCAAGGACACATATACACAAATATTAAATTATTGAGCTTTGATGGCCATATATATTTATTGATATGAATATATTATAACACATAATTAATTTTCAAACCAACTCATGAATAGTGACGGATATTATGAAATTTAACTTAGAGAAATTATTGAGTGTACGTGAACAAAATCTACATAAGTATATTTTTTTTATCTATATATTTCAGAAATGATATAAAAAAAATTTTAAAAAAATTATCAGAATGAGTCAGGGCTATCTCAATAAATTTGAGGGTCTAAAGACAAAAAATATTGATAAGAGGCCTTATTTTTTTTAGTTAATAAATATAAATTAAATAATGATAATATACTAGTGTAATTCTACAAACGAGATCTAGAGAGGCAGGATATATGTAGACATTATAAAGTAAGAATGCAAATAATGTAATTTTTAATGAAAATTATATAATATAAAGTTGGAATAATAAAACATGACTCAACTTCTTTAAAAATATGATGATATTAAAATAGTGTAGCGATGAATTTGATAAGTTGATAAATAATATTAAAATAATATTGATTAGTTTTAATGCTTGAGATTTGAACAAGACACCAAAAATAAATTTGATTTTTTATGAACACACACTAACTATCAATATCACATAATGTAGAATGTTTGAAAGTGTAAGAGACTTTGAGAATTTAATAATAAAAAAATAAAAAATAGCGAAGGAGAATAAAGAAAAGTAAAATGTGATATAGCAACAATATAAATATATCGAAAAAAGAAAATTTAAAAAAAATAGAATATACCTATTTAAATTAAAAGATATTATTAAAAAAAGGCGATATACCAAAATTACCATACTAAGGACGAATAAGTAGTTAACTTGATGGACCGAAAAAGACTTTTGAGGGACCAGAAGTAAATTACCTTACCTGTTTGCTGGTTCAGATTTTGACCATTTTGTCCTTTGTCGTCACCAAGAGGACTATCTTCAGATTTTTCTCACATGGTGAATGCTATTCATACATATAATGGATTATTTTCCATTATATATATGTTTAGTCACTGTAAACAATGTACAATAACCTTTTTTTTTTTATCTCTGCTAAAAGCTGATCTTCTCCCATTGGAGTCCGGTTCTTGACAACTGAGGAGATTTTCTTCAACTTTATCCAATTCTTCAAATTTACAGTTACCCAGGTAACAACTCCTCAATTCTCTTCTGGGTTTTTTATATTTTTGAAAATGATTTCTGGGTTTTTGTTTTCTTGAGCACCCAGTCTGTTTTGATGAGTTTTATAGCCTGTTTATTGAATTCTGTACTGTGATCACTACAGCTTATAGTAATCTTGCTTTCTAGCTTTTAGAAATCATGAGTTAGTTAGTTAGCAAGCTAAATAAGCTTATGTGGTGTGATGATTTGGACAATTGGACTTAAAATTATGTTAAAACCCCTTAAAGAGGGTAACTTGTTGATGTTTGCACTGTCTACTGGAAAGTTTGTGCAATTGGAAGTTTTCAATTACAAGGTTTGGTCTTGGTTTTGGTAGAAAAAGTGAAGTGCTGTTTTTTTGGGGATAAGAATCACTGAAATGAGGATGTGCACTTCGAATATTACCTAAAGTTGCTACTCGTGTTTGAGCGAACTGATTTAATGGATGATGATTGATGACTATCATTTCATCAATAACAAGTTCCTTTCTGATAGTTGAAATGAAGAAGAGCTTGATAGATTTTAAATGTTGTTTCGATCTCTTGCAGCTAAACCATTAATCTAGGTTTATATTGTTCCTTAACAGCTAAGTGGACATTGCAATATTTCCGTGTTTACATTTACCTGTTGCACCGTCTGGGAATGCGAACAGGAAATCATGTTAGGCATTAACACATTTTTCCTCCTCAAAGCTTCTCTTAGTTTGAATCTTGACTTTTCAATCTGGTAATTTGAAGGTTTTATACCAAACGTATTGCTCTGTAGAGTTTTTATCCGTCAAATATCTGGTTATGACATACCATGTGATGCTTAAATGGCTTAATGACATATTTGGCAATTGAAAAGGGAGTGCTAAACTTGTGGTGGTGGTGTCTAGTATAAAGCATTGATCAAGGAAGTGTGGGTAAAGAGAATGTTTTATTATCATTTTCTAGTTAGAACTTAGAATGTCATCAGTTTTGACTTTGGACTTCATATATCAATATCAGAAGATTTGTTTTGTTGCAAACTGCTGGTGAGTTCCACGTTGAGGTGCTAATGTACTGGTTAGAGGAACTAGAATCTTTAATGTAATATATCATAAGATATTATGATGAAGATACATAATGAGTTTTTTCATGCCTTTTAACATGGCTTACTAGTTTAAGGGCTAACATTCAAAATATTCAAATTCCGATTTTAGTTCAATGGAAGCTAACAAATGAAAACATGTTAAGGCTAGAAGTAAAAATACATGAAATACCAAGTCAAAGATGATAAATGAGGTGATACAAAGAACTTGTGGTCACTGCTAGGCGATTATGCCTTTCCCTGCATGAGTCCCACGAACCAATGAAGGCTGATTAGGTTTCGTCATCTACTATATAGTGCTCAATAGATTATCCTGGTTACACAAGTTGCAAGCAACAGGCAACAAGTTTCTTGTTAGCATTATAAAAGGAAAAACAGATACGAGGAATGTTTTGTAAATGTGATTTGAACTTCTTGTAACTAATGTCATTTCTGAGATGGTCCTAACTTCAATATTTATGTTCAGAATTTGCAATCCCATACAGTTGCTAATACGGGGAGGTATTTCTTCATACTCATGTCTTGCAAAAGTTCATCACTCTAACGGGGAAATGGTTCTCTTCTCTTTTATGTCCTAGACAACAAAGGGCTGCCTGAATAAATAATTATATGGGCTTTTATTTATTTTTGTTTTTTAATCTTAAAAAGATTTGGATAAGACAATGAAAAAGTTGCAACTATTTTCTGCTACATTTATGAGAGGAGGGGTTCCTTACAATTCTTGGCTCTTACTTGAGTTGTGTTTGTTCTGATCCGTGGTTATAGCTGTGTTCTTGTAAGGCTACACTGTTACAATGAAACTTTACTTTGTAGTCATTTTCATTACAGCGTGCAGTGGTTGAATAATTTTGATTACACCAGTGAAATTCCCTGAAACTATGAGTACTAGTGTAACAAAATCCATGCCAAATGGCTTGGAGAATTCTTTGAAACCGGAAGAAGAACGGAACAAGGTATCTAAATTTAAGTTCCATTCATGGTTTTAAGCTGGATTATGCTAATAAATAGTACTTTATTTCTAGCAGATTGATGAGATGAGAAAGTTGATTGGGCCACTTTCAGGTAAGTTGGCCCTTTACTGTTCTGATGCATCCATTTCAAGATATTTAGCAGCTCAAAGCTGGAACGTAAAGAAGGCAGCTAAGATGCTTAAAGCGTCCCTGAAGTGGAGACTGGATTTCATGCCTGAAGAAATTCGCTGGGTACTGTTAATGAACACCCCCCTCCCCCCTCTCCCCCCCTCTGTAATGTTCTTTTTTACCATCTTCGAAAGTGTCTAGATGCTTGTTTGACCCTTATTTCTTGATAAACTTTTGGAACCTGCATTTATGGGTCTTTTTCTTGTCCTTTTTTGTTTTGTGGAGGAGAGAAAATGATGCTTTTATTAATTAAAATTAACGTCTTTTGAGATTTACATCTCCTCAATCGGTAGACTTTGGCATGATCTGCTTCATAAATATTATTTATCGGTGACATTTTTTTACAGATAAATTGTCTTGTGCATTACCTCAGTCTGTATCTGCAGGATTGTAACCTTGAAACGTGATAGTAGTATCTGTACTGATCATGTTGATAATAGTATCCTCTGTTCTTTCTTGCAATTTTTTTTAGTTCTTTTTTGAAAAGCATTTTCTTTGATACAGGATGATGTGGCCAGTGAAGCAGAAACAGGCAAAATTTATAGGTCAAACTATAAAGACAAGCATGGGAGGCCAGTTCTTGTCATGAGACCTCGTTGCCAGGTAGGTTTCAGTTTGCTTTTTCTTTCTTGGGTAAAATACTTGTGTGTTACAATCGTATCGCTTATGATTTTCTTATCCAATTGGTTAATTGAGATAATAATTGCAAGGAAAATGAACATTTAAAACCATTTAAACTCAGTTATATACGCCTCAAAGCTACAACGTCTGTATCATTCTTTATGTGTTATTTATATTACCTCTATTTCATGAACTTGATTCAAATTGATCATGCTCGTATGTCAGCAACTAATAAATGTACTTCAAAAACTGCATTAATAAGTTATACTGATTAATGTTTGGCTACAAGGAACTAACACAAGCTTGATAACATTTTGAGTCGGTCCTTGCAGAACACTAAGTCTCTAGAAGGACAGATGAAGTATTTAGTATATTGCCTGGAAAATGCAGTTGTAAATCTCCCAAAAGACCAGGAACAGATGATTTGGTTGATCGACTTTCATGGATTCACTCTGTCAAACCTCTCAATCAAGGTGACAAAAGAAACAGCTCATATTTTGGAAGACTATTATCCTGAAAGACTGGGAATAGCTATTTTATATGATCCACCCAAAATATTTGAACCATTTTGGAAGGTAATTTGCCCTCAAACTTGCTTAAATTAGCAGTTGTTAATTTTGTGAATGTTACACTACAGGATTCTATTTCTTTATAATGTGTACTGAAAAACTTTTGACTATAATCATTGGCATGGACTGTGACCTCCAATGTTAATATTGAAAGTTGAAACTAAAGATCATCTTGACAATGAGAGATTTCCGTGACACCAGATAAAAGGATATCTTTTGGTATCTTAAGATTGCAGAAGTGAGGCTCATGCATGGGGTTGTCATGAAAATTGCATGACTGACGGCATGGTCAATTGGTGTTTGCAATTGGTATATACTCCTATATCACTCTTCTGTAGGCCTAGTCCTTTACTCTGGGTCTATGAGTTTGCTGGTAACTTGTTATCATGCAGACTGGGATTAGCTTTGATAGCCTAAACTGAGCCCAAGTTGTAGTGACTTCTGGCTTTCTGGGACTCCAAGACATTGTCTGCATGTCTTGCATAGTTTGTAATTACTTTTTAGAAATTCAGTTGTCGTAAGATGGCTGATGGATTTTGGTGCGAACAATGGCTTTCCCAAAGGACAGAAATGCTGAAACTTTGAATGAAGGCTAAGTGTCTGCAGTAGAAAACTTAATTCATGTATTGCGATGCATGGAATTGAGTAAGAAGAATGAGGACAATGTTGTCAATCAGATGACCATGGACTTCTATTTTCATGAAATCTGAACACACTGAAACAGAGAAACTATAAAAAGTTAAGTGAGGAAAGAACGGCACGTGAGAACTGAATCAGGGATTTTGATGAAAGCTAGTTTTACTTGATCAAGAAAAAATTAACTGGATAAAGATAAGAGGCTTTCTGAAGAATAATAAAAGCAGGAAAGTGTGAGTTATATATTAATTACTTATCCTCGCCCAAGATTTGGTTGGGTTATTTAGCAACCATTAGAGCAAAAATATGTGCCTGCTTTAATTTTAAGCATTCAAGTTGTTGCATTACTTAAGGTTACATTTGCTTTATTCCAATAGATTCCCTTTGAACTCTGTTTTCTCAAATATTAAGATGAGACATCCCTTATTTGCAGCATCTCCATTTGATTACCAGGCAACCTATTATTTTGTTTATCTAAATGGTGCAGCTAGCAAAGCCTTTTTTGGACCCAAAGACTGCGAGCAAAGTCCATTTTATGTACTCAGATGACCCCAACAGCAAGAAAATGATGGAAGAAATGTTTGACATGAGTCTGGTGGAGTCTGCATTTGGCGGAGATGATAAGGCTGATTTTGATGTCAATAAATATGCTGAGAGGATGAGAGAAGATGATGAAAAGTTGTCTTCTTTCTGGAAGAAAGACGATAATTCTGCATCAAATGCACAACTTACTGTGACAGCTGATCCCTCTTTAGAGCCAACAAATTCTGATTCTGATTCTGAAGTCTTAGATGAGAAAGTAGAGAAACCTTCTCTTGATGTTGATGAAGAAGAATCATCAATTGAAGAAACTTTGCCTGGAAGTAACAGTACAAATGCGAATGTCAAAGCAGTGTAGCTAAAGGCAATGTCTTCAACTTTTTAGTTTTGTAAATGCTCACAAGATGGGCAATTTAACCATTTCTCCAAATGGTTCAGAACTGAAGTGTACTTAGCAGAGAACATATTAATCAAGGTGATGTAATGAGTGATATGCTATAAAATGAATGTTGTGCCTCTTTATACTAGGTAGTTCTTTTGAATGTTTTGCATATACCAGTTCTTTTAACACAAGAAAATGTGGAGACTGTAGCTTTTGCAAAATGGCAATTCATTCACCACCATCAAATTGCTTTTAGGAAGCTACAAGGTGCTTCAAATTAGCAAGCCTAAGGTTCCATTCCGCGTTGTACCCATGGAGATTGAATTGTACTGATGTGTATAGTTGATAGCAGAAGAAATGATTGAAGTAGCAGCTGAGAAAAGAAACCCCGTGGATATTCTACATTGCCTTATTTATAAGCTGTATAGATGAACAAAAACACTAGTAGGCTCATTCTCTTTAATGTGTCTACAAATACTGATCAAAACCAAAAAATATTCTACATTACAATTCACAGTATCAACACATATAGAACAACATTTATGAAAAAGTGGCCGAGTTTGTTTGGCCTATCTATGAGAAGACTACAGTAAACGAAAAAACAAATCACTCCCATTTGCAAGAGAAACTAGTCTTCAAGAGGCATATCAAATCTACTTCAACTGAAAGCAAACCCCTGCACAAACCATGAGATAATTAGATTCAAGAATCATAGCAGGTGGTTTTCAAGGAATAGAACACAAGAAGTAAATCGACATACCTTGTCACGTTACTCAAACATATCATCTAGCTTTTGTCTGTACTGAGCCAATTTCTGTTATTATGAAAAAGAAAGGAGTACTTGGTCATACAAAGATAATCAATTAGCTATATCGGCGAAATGCTAAAATGCAGGACTTTGACAAATGTAAACACTAAATGCTTTGCATTTTACTATGTTCCTTTTTTGACTTATTTCTTGTGTACCCTATGCCTGACTGAAGAATATCTCAGTTAATGTTGGAGAGGTGAGAACCTGAGGATTCTTACTCAGACAACTTTAAATGAAATGAAACTCCAAAGTATAGAAGCAAGCACCGCTGTTTGGCCTTTGTTAGAGGTACAGCAACATAATATGCCGATTCTTAACAATATGATTACACAGCTTCATACTTGTTTAACCAACTATATGATGTTCAACTTTGTGCCGTAACCCAACTGTTATGCCTAATAATAACCTTTGCATGTTCAAAAGCTATTTCTCTTAGTCATTCCCTTAAAAGCAAATTAACCAGTTGATCAACAGGATTCTTTCAGGCTTCACTTTCATCTAACTGTTTGTCAAACAAGAATGTGACATCTAGACAAAGATAAAACGACTTCAAACATAACTTTGAGAATTTGCATACCTTTGTATAAGCATAGACTGTTGCCTCAGTTGGGGCTGGAGGACTTCCTCTGCGAATATACCTTCCTTCTTTGAATATGTAAAGCATGGGGATTCCAGTGGCAAGCTCCAAACTTATAACCTGATAAGAAGAGTTTCAATTCGTAATGTTTCCTAACAGGAAAAGACAAAAAAAAAAATGCAAGAGATCCCAACAAATTTGAAATTCCACCTCTTGGGATGTTAGCTTGTCAAGATACATAATGATGGACCTCAATGAGTTCCCATGGGCTGCAATCATTATATTTTTTCCACTTGCCAGTTGGGGTTCAATCTGCAACATTACAGCAAAAATGTCATTTCATAAAACCTAAAACTGGATTGATAATATGATGGATCTGAAATATGCTTCAGCCTACGTGCTCTGTGAAGTAGGCAACAGCTCTCTCTGCACACATTTCCAAACTTTCTCCGTTCGGAGGAGGAATATCATAGCTACGACGCCACTCATGAACCTGCTCACTTCCATATTTATCAGCTGTTTCCTGCTTATTAAGACCTTGTAATTCCCCATACCTACAAAATAGCAAAGTCATACATCAGAACCATCAACTGATATATAAGGCTATAGGAAAAATAACCTCGGAAGGAGAAGATGTTTTTACATTCTCTCATTTAGTTGCCAAGCAGTTACAACTGGTATACATTGCATGCTGGTATCTTCACTAAAGATCTGACTCCAAGCTCCTGCTTGTTCACTCTCTTCATGAATGATAGTTGGCACCTAAAATTGACATGAAAGTGGCAATGATAAATATTTTAGGCTACCAATATAGAAGCCTAAAACACTTCAGAGCAGAAGGATAAACCAAAATGAAAGGAGTCTACTGCAGTTTGAAAGCATGTGTAGGCAAACGCTTTAGGCTTCTAATCAAACCATATTATTTCTATCTATTATGATACAGTTACCCCCAAAAACATCTTACCCTTGTGAAATGGAAGTAAGAGAAGTCCAAATGTTACAAGCTTTAACCAAGAAATTACCTTCTTGCGGCGGTGCTGAGTCATGGCAAGCATGGCAGTCATTTGAGCACGAATCAAAGCAGAAGTATAGATCATGTCGACAGGTATATTACTAATTCGTTTCCCAGCTTCAACGGCCTCTTCCACGCCCTTATTAGTCAAAGGCACATCTACACAACCAGTGAACAAGTTTTTTTCGTTCCACATAGACTCACCGTGTCTAATCAGGATCAAAGCAGCTTCACCTAAAGGGAAATAAGGAAGATGGGAATCAGATGCAGTGCTGCAGAGTAGCTTAAAACAATCATATAATTTATCCCACGAAAATCATTTATAGGAAGGGGAACAATTACTTCTTAACGTGATAATGAAAGAAATGATCACAAATTCTTCTTATCTTATGATGTGCTTATGATGATTTGGAAATAACAGTTCAAGAGATAGACTATCATACTTGTTTTCTTGTTGGAGTCACTGGTGGTGGCACTAGATGGTGCTGAAGCTTCATCGAACACCGTAGCTTGAGAAGCAGAGGCTTGAATTACACAAGTACTTGTCTTTCTAGAACAAAAACTTCCTCCTCTCAACAATCCCACATCAACCTTGAAACCCTTGGACACCGGTCTAAAGGAAACATGCCCATAATCAGGACACAATCCAGAGTTACCATTTACTCTACAAGACCGAAGAGTTCCAACCGATTGGTTAAGTGTCGTTGCAGCCATTCTGAGATCAGAGAAACCAACATTGTCAATGAAAAGTACATGCAAATCAAAAACAGCAGCATTTCAACTTGTTAAGATGGAACAAAGTGCAACACAGTTACTCAGAGAAACAGAGGAACTAATTCTTGAGTTCAACACAAAATGTTACCCTCCTTCGTAGGAACAATTTCTACATCAAGGATGAAAATGAATGTGCTATAAACACAAAAAATGACAAAAGGAAAAGCATTGAGCAAAATCACATCAATCCAATAAAATTAATTAGCAATCAAGATAGATCTAATTCAAGATTAAGAACTACAAAACCTACTGACTAACGAGTAACAAGATATGACATCGATTAAACAAAGTGGGGTTAGCCCATATCAAATCATACACACATTACATCAACAGAAGAAAAAAAAAAGCAGAAATCGTAAAAATCACAAATCAATCCATTAGCATCGAACATATCGAAATGAAAACAGAGCTCACATAACCAAGAAAAAGAAAACCCAGTTAAGATCAACAGCAGAAAATGCAGAATATAGAGAGAAGTAATCAGAGATCATACGCTTATTTATACAGCCAAACGATGCTTGCAAGTTGGCGAAGAAACCAAAGCAAGAAAAATGGGAACGATGCTATCCAAGAAAAATCTTGTTTTTCCCCCTTTTTCTTTTGGTGCGGTTAAATGGGGGAAAACGAAAAAGGGTGTTGAGTTTATATCAAGAAAAGTTGGCGGAGAAGAAGATGGCACATTACATGCATCAAATGGTATAAAGATTGAGTCTTTATAGGGTAAAATGTGTCTGACAAATCAAGATTAAGAGGGGGAAATGATGGGATGCTTAGTAGAAATCGTTTTCTTGAAAAAAATTTCTCCAAGAAAGTGTGTATATGGAGTTGGCAATTGGGTGTTGAGAAGAAATGAAGAATATAATATAGTGTCTCTATATGTGGGTAGGTAATGCCTCTATTCTCATTTTGACCATCTTTTTACCATTTGGACTCCTTTTTTTTTCACTTTCAAAATATGTTTTCCTACTTAAACAACCGATACTAATAAATTTTTTTTTTTTTATCAAAATTAATTTTACATGATATTTATTATTTTTATTTATATTAATATTATATAAGATTGTTCATTAAAACTTAGACATATGCATAACTATTTTAGGGAAGATGTTTGTCATAATATTTGTCAACTAACAACCCTTTTGGTCAAGTTTATGTGAAGTCAAAGTACTTATTTGTTTTTAAAGTTTGAAGTATTTGGTCAGGATTTTAGAAAAAATATTTTTTTAAAATATAAAAATATCAAAATTGAAAAAAAGTTAAATTTTTTCTATAAGTATTTTTTAATATATTAATTGAGTATGAACGATTGCTTTAAAATTTATTATATTTTGTTAAACACAAATCAAAACACAACTCTGAAAAGTTTGATCTAACCCAAACACGAATTATTTTGTCAAAAACGAATACTTTTAAAGTTTTACCAAACATATGTTAATTACCTAAATAAAAAAGGGCAAACTATATTTGATTTCTTATTCCTTGAATTTTTATGACAGTGGAATGTTGATAGGGAAGGATGGTGAGAATTTACTTTAATATTGATCGAACATCGTTATTTTATTATTTCTTTACTTATATAATAAACCACATTTATTTAATGTTATGGGACTATAGTGTATGTATTCATTTATTTAATCTATCACATTTAGTAGACAACCCTTGAAGGATTCTTAGGGACCTAAATTTTTTCGAGTCTCAACAATGACTTTTTATTTATTTAATTTTAATACAGACATATTTATTTGGCAACTCTTCAAAAATTGGCCATTAATATCACCTAACTCCTGCACGTGCCTCCCTTTAATGTCACGTGCTTATAATGTTTGTTCAAATATGAATGGCTGCTAATTCTATTTCCACCCACCTAACATAATGCACCTTCTAACGCCAACTACCTCTATACTCCGTTCCGTTTCGATAACTTTGATTTTCATCTTTGTAATATATGATTTAACGTCACGTATGTTTTATTCTTCAAATATTATG